TGGGCATGCAGAGATAGATGTGCATGAACATCTAATCGGTGTCAAGCGAACAGTCTGATATGCATGAATCTGGGTTCCAGTGGAGGAGTCCAGGCTGGAGACAGAGAGGTGGGAGTTGTCAACTATAAAGCCAAGAGACCGAGAAGATGCCAAGAAACTGAGTAAAGAGAGAGCCTGAGCTCTGGGCTTCTCCAGGGTCAAGGCAGGGCCAGACTGCAAAGGCAGCGCTCCCTCCCAAATGCCTGCACACAGGCCCCTCCCCCATCCTCCAGGGAGAAGCTCAAAGCCCCGGCCCTTACCTCGGAAGGATGACGAAAGCGGTCTGACAAAGGTCTGGGACCCCTCAGGCTCCTCTGTCGACAAAGACTTTCCACAGTGAGGGCAGAATCTGAACGCTGTTTGGATACTTTTGCCACAGTCTGGACAGAAGGTGTTCATGCTAGAAAACAGAAGTGTGCGGGAGGGAACAGGAAGGTGAAAGAGAAACTTAATTCACTGCCAAGTTCCTTATGGTGACACGATTGCAAAAGAAAGAAAAGTAATCACTCAGGGAATATATTCTCTCAGGAAGTGGCCACTCCTAAAATGAGCTCCCGCCCACTGTGTTCAGCCTCTAGCCATCTGTCTCTAATGGCCCAGGGCAAAGGGACAAGGCAGAAACTGCAGATCTCATCAAAAACATGAGGCTGTCTTGAAGTCAATAAAAATCACCTAGGAGCACGGCTCTAATCACAGAAGCTCTGAGGGAGAGAGCCAATGCTCACCAAATACCCACATGATCTCCTACACTTCCCAGGGTCCCTTGCAGTTAGATTGGGGCCACATGACTAGTTCTGGCCAATGGAGTATATAGTGAGACAACAGGTACTGGCTGCATTTTCCTCTAAGCCTTATGTATCTCTGGAATATTTCCTAATACTTTAAAAATCAAAACCAAACTCACACATAGAGCCTACCACCAATGAAGATATGACGGGTGTAATCATTTCCCAAGGCTGCCATTAAAGAAATACCAGACAGGGTGACTTCAACAACAGGAATTTATTTTCTACACAGTTTTGGAGGCTAGACGCCAGAGATCAAGGCACCAACCAGTTTGGTTTCCTCTGAGGCCTCCCTCCTTGGCTGGCAGATGGCTGCCTTCTCACTGTGTCCTCACATGGTTGTCCCTCCGTCTGTGTCCTATTCTCATCTTCTTATAAGGACACCCGTCATATTGGGTTAGGGCCTTGCCTCGGTCTGTTTGGGCTCCTATAATAATGTATCACAGCACCCTGACAGGTTTGGCTCAGAGGATAGAGCGTCAGCCTGCGGACTCAGGGGTCCCAGGTTCGATTCCGGTCAAGGGCATATACCTTGGTTGCAGGCACATACCCAGTCGGGAGTGTGCAGGAGGCAGCTGGTTGATGTTTCTCTCTCACTGATGTTTCTAACTCTCTATCCCTCTCCCTTCCTCTCTGTAAAAAAATCAATAAAATATATATTTTTTAAAAAACGTATCACAGGCTGGGTGGCTTATAAACGACAAAAACTTATTTCTCACAGTTCTGGACCCTCTTCTGGGTTGCAGACTGACAACTCCTTGCTGTGTCCTCATGTAGTGGAAGGGGTAGGGAACTCTCTGGGATCTCATTCACAGAATATTAATCTCACCCATGAGGGCTCCACCCTCATGGCTTAATCCCTCCCAAGGTCCCACCTCCTAATACCATCACACTGGGCATTAGAATTTCAACCTGTAAATTTTGGAGGGACCCAAACATTCAGAACACAGCAGGCCCACCCTAACAACCCCATTTTAACTGAACACATTGCGGGCGGATCACGAGAATTCTCGCTTCATATTACACAGTGTTTTACAAAGTATCATACTTTAAAAAGATATTAGCTTGTAAGAACATGTAATAAGTAACTTCAACATGCTATGGATATTTAATTTTAAAGCGTGCCTTTAACATTTATGTAAAATGGTTTTTTTTTTGTACTCGTTCAATAGGAACTTATCTGGCCACTGGGTAAAGCTAGCAATAAAACTACTGGTCCGCAATGTGTTAATTATCTCTTTAAAGGCGCTATCTCCAAATATGGTCACATTCTGAGGTATTTGGGCTTAGGGTTTCCACACACAAATTTTTACAGGGACAGTTCAGTCCATAAAAGCAGGATTAAACTAGTTAATAAGTGAGGAGACAATCAGCAAAGATGACAGTGCAGTAGACGTTTCAAATGAATATATTTTAAATAGCAAAAGAAAAAATGATCTTATTTATTCTTTATCCTAAGACTCAGTGTACAGTACCAATTATAAGCTGGATTATCAAAATAGAAGTCAAAATGAACTCGGGCTTGTGGTTTCATTTCACTGTGTAAGAGAAAGTTCTTCCCTTTTTACCTATTTGTGGCAACTAAAAATTGTATATATTTATGGTGTATGTGATATTTTGGTATATGTACATTGTGAAATGATTACCATAATCAAACTAATCAATGTATCCATCACTTTCCATAGTTATTTGTGTGTGTGTGTGTGTGTGGGTGTGTGTGTGTGGTGAGAACACTGGAGATACTCTTAACCAATTTCAAGTACAAAATACATTATTATTTACTACAGTCACCATGCTATACATTAGGTCTCAGAACTTATTCATCTTATAACAAAAAGTGTGTATACCCTTTCATCAATATCTCCCCATTTATCCTACAGCCTCCCGTAACCACTGTTCTATTCTCTGTTGGTATGAATTGGAATTCCTTTTAGATTCCACGTATAAGTGAGATCTTGCAATATTTCTGTGTCTGGCTTAGTCTAATCAAATGCTTTTCCTTTATTGACTGTAAAGGTTGGTCGCCGTTGCAATTGCAAAACAGAGTTCTTTAAAATCACAGGCTCTAGCCCTAGCCGGTTTGGCTCAGTGGATAGAGCGTCGGCCTGTGGACTGAAAGGTCCCGGGTTCGATTCCGGTCAAGGGCACATGCCTGGGTTGCTGCGGGCTCGATTCCCAGTAGGGGGCGTGCAGGAGGCAGCCAG